ATTGACTGAGGCCGCCGCGTATACCGCGCTCGATAAACATAACCATATCGATGTTAGTGAGCAACTCAAATTTTACACGCGTATGGTTCAGCATGGCGTCCCACGTGAAACCTGGCAATGTGTAGTAATGAGCGGGATCGAGACTGTAACTTTTGATACAATTTTCACGGAAATTTTCAAAAACGTCGGCCAATAACAAGACATCAGTCTTCAAATATAGATCGCTATATTCGCCTAAGGTTTCAATAGAGAACCGCTGCCAGATGTTCACGGCGTGCGCGTAATCATTCTCCGACACTGTGTTACCGGTCAACGAACTATAAAATGATTCGCGCGATGGTAGGCGCGTGTCCTGCAGCTTGTCCGCGTGATCCACATATTCATAAGGAAAGACACCTTTACGCGTCAACAAATCAAAATCCTCGTTCGATAACGTGGAAAATTCGGAATGTAAAATTTTCAATTTCTCTCTACTTAAAAAAGATGTCAATTTATCGAGATTGGTACTCAAAAATTTGTACGAATCGATGAATCGTAATTGTACACAATTTTGCGAATGAATTCTGATCTATCTTTGACATGTTTAGTGAATGAAATGTATTTTTCCTTTGTTATCGGCAGCACGTCAATTTTGCCTTCGTACGCCGTAGCTATTTCTGTGATAACAAAGTGCGTGTCATAACCGGATAAATTGTGAAAGACTACAGGAATGCAATATGATTTTTTATAGTTTAGATTGCAATTCGAATGTGCGGGTCCGCGGTAACGACCGGTAAGGTGGCAATGATCACGTACCCACGTGTCGTCCGATTGCAAATGATTTCTCACAAATGTGACAACGCGTTGCGCTACGGTATGTCTCCCACTGATCTCTCGATAATGTTTCCAGGGACATTCGCGGATAACAAAATTTTTATTTGATGCGCCAAATTTTCGAGTTGTTGAACGAATCATGCAACGCAGTCTTCGCCGCGACGAAATTGATACGCCGATAACGCATTGTCGTACGAGCATCGCACATAATATCCTACGCTAAATACCTTGTGTTGCTGTTGATATGTGTACGACGTGTTTTCTCTTTGCGGCTCCATCCTTCGCAGTATGCACTCAAGATCTGCGTAGACGATGAATGGAAGTCGTTCTTTGTTGCAGTAGTTCTTGAAGTCGAGCCACTTGTCGTCCTCATTCGGCAGTCGGATGGCGTAATCGTTCATCCGTTCGCAATCCACCGTATGCGATTCCAATTTCTCAGATGACTTAAAATAATGTAAACATCTGCAAACGGAAAACATAATTTTTTAGTATTTTTAGCATTTAAATTAACAATTATAAAATATTTTACATATTTTGTTAAAAAATGTGCATACGTACCGATCACAAAAGTATTTCTTGTGTTCTTTTTTACTTAGTTGCGAGCTTACAAGACGGGATAAGTTTTTGATGTACGCGAAGTATCCATTATCGTCGCGCGGATCCTGCATGTACAACAAATTTGCATGTTTCTCCATTTTCTTTGTTGTCAGATGTATTGGGAGAATCTCCTTTTCCTTGATACCGTAGACGTTGATAGAGATTTCGTTGAGATGTTCGAACTTTTTAATTTGATTCAACGTCA